TTTGGAAAAGCGTCTTTAGTTTTCGTGTAGACAGTGGTTGTCTTTACGCTAGGCTGTTAAGTAAGACTTAAGAGCTGCTAAGTTTTACTTAACCAAAAATGCGTGTGTGAAGGCCTAAGCAAAATCTCAAGTAACTTTACTTTGCATCTCATTAAAACCGACTTAGCGAACTTGCGGTTTCCAAGCTTTGTTGAGAAAGGCGAAGCATGTCAATCAATCTTAATTACGTTGCGTAGGAAAACCTGAAGTAGAAAAGATAGGTTTGTGTGAAGCTTTCTTTTACTTGAAGAATCTAAAATTTACTTGTCTTGAAATATTTCTTAGCTTATTTAGGGTTCAGTGTAAACACTACCAGTATTTCGAAATGTAGCGTTTATATCCAACTGAAAGTTTCCTGACTGCGTGCATTTCTTTGGTACATGAGCCAGACAAGCCGTGGCCGAAACAATAGCCGTCGTGTATGAACTCACGAAAAGAACTCAGGAGATGCTGTTCGCCTATTGGGCACAATAATACAAAGCATTTTTTGTGCCCAATCAGGAGCCAGCATTCGCTTGACCGTTTGGAAATGGTCCGGTGAGAGTCGGTACCCAGGGGTTTTTCCACCTGTGCTTGAAAACTTTTGTCGCACCTTTTCTCCCGGCCCGACTGACCGCCCCTGGGTCTCCGAGGATGGTGGACACAGCGTTATTTAAGGTTTGAACAACCGGAGCCTAAGTAATTACCGTAAAATTCCGAAAATAAACCCGGGGGCTTATATTTTTCAAATGCCCTTTTTGAGGGGTTTATTTTTGGAGGGGCTTATATTCGGAGGGGCTTATCTCCGGAGGGACATTTGCGTTTCAAAACCGATTGGGCTAGCCTTATTCTTGGAAGTAAATTTACCGTTTTTTCTTTGTTTTACTTTGTATTTGGAGGGGCGATTTAACGGTTTTTTTTTTTTGCGTTACCGGTTTGGGGGGCTTATATTCGGATTGGCTTATACATTGTGGGGCTTATTTTCGGAATTTTGCGGTATGCTAAAAATGAACACAGGCCGTGTTGGGGATGGGGAGGGGAAGCAAACAATTGAAAAAGAAACTCTTCTGCATGCACTTTCTACAACGATCTACGATCTGACAAAACTGCGTTTACTACGAAAAACAGATTGAACCAGAAGACAAAGTATCGCAAAGAGCAAGGCAACATCATAATGTAGTTTTTGTTCTTTCATATTCTCCCCCAACACCACCACCACCAGAAAAAAATTGCATAACCATTGTTTCAATTTTTCCTGGGTATTAAAGTTGTCCCAAGAGAAATTAAAGACAATGGTTATGTAAAATTTGGGGGGTGAACAATGTGCATTATGGTCTATTTAAAAATGGTGAATACATTTTTTTGTCGATAGCTCAATAGAGCATCCAATGATATCAGTCTCCATACATTGCTTTAAAGTTGTTGTGATCCTTCCATGGTTGATATATCGCAGGATTTGTTGTTCTCTAATTTATCATAGATTTCCAGAGAGGCAGACGAGAAAATATAGATGTCTTAAATCAATTTCCAGATTTTAGTCTGTATATGAGTTAAATGCTAGATTACAAGGCATTATCATCATCGTTTAAGAGTTACATCAACTGTTAGAGCTGACTGGAATAGGACGAGCAATTGCAATAAATGGATGTTATGCTCTGAAGTAGGACAATATTCTTGAGGTCAGTGCTTTAGTTCTTCTTTTTATGGCCATTTTTACGTAACTTCTAATTTGGTATGCAGATTCTATATCAATGAGGAATAAGCTGAACATTTAATACTCTTAGCTCTATTGCATTTTTTTTTTCTTCAGAAAACAAGAACCTAACTTGAACCTAAATAGCCTATACTTGTGCTAATTACCATTTATATAAGAACCTGTTTAGGTTAACTTGGAAAATCCAGGTTTTTAGTGGCGGGATTTTATTGAAGTCAACGTGATGTACCACCAGCCTGTTCTCACGCCCCATGCCAAACATTTACGTGGTTCATTGTAGAAACTCCCCCTTGATCTTGAAAGGGAAGGGGTGTCTGAGCAAGGAGCGGAAAGAAACGGGGGATGAAGATAGTGAGGCGCCTGTGTCGTGTTCATGGTTCCGTTTTCTGAAGTCTTGGAAGGCAAGACAAATTTTCAAGTAAGTCGCAAACAGAAGCAGAAACTTGGAAATTCCCTTGGTCAAACTGTTGGGAAGCCTTCTTGATAGGTAAGGTTCTTTGAACTTCCCGGAACACTGAAATAAGATCTAAAGTCTGCCGACGTTTGTTCAATAGCTCAAAGATTGTGGCAAGAGCTAATTTTCCTCTCTCATTGATGTGTAAATGAAGAGTTTCCTGGGGAAGTTCTTCTGTGTTCAAATGTAGCCAGTACCCAATATCGGTTATTAGTAGCTTCGTGCTTGGAATGAGAGCCAATTTTTCGGTCAAATACCTTCGGGTCTTCCTTGAAAACTCTTTAATTTCATGGCTGTAGACAATTAAATTGTTTGTTAAAAGCACAACAAAAAGAGTAGATTCGTTATCTGCAAT